ATTCAGAAGCCACTGGAAGAAAATGCAATGCGAAGGCTGCTCATTTTCTTAATTAGCTATTAAATAGGCAAAGTTCAAAAGCAGCCATTCAAATGGCTGGGGGCTTGGATAGGTTTGTGTCTGGAACCCTTGAGCATGAAAAAATAAATTACCTTGGTAGAAAATATCATCCAATTCAGCTGTTTAGGAAAAGATTTGGAATAGGCAAGAGTGGTTTTTCCACTTTTTTTTTTGTTAGCATCTAATCAAGCATATGAAGAACAAATCATTAGTAAAGGAAACAATTGAGTTGATATGGAAGAATTGAATTCAATAGATCCCTGAGATAATGTATCCACCTAAAAGAGAATATACATTCTATATAACTCTGCCCCAGAATTTTTAGGCTGGATTATTTTTTAATATCAATATCACAAAATTTAAGAATGTATATTGATATTCATTTATCCAATTGTTTATGTTTATCCTATCAGAATAGTGTGTTTCAGAAACTAATTAAGTTATCAAGAAAATGATATTTCAGTGTTTCCCCCTTGAATAATAAAGAATTTGTACAGTCTTTCATTTCAGAAATAGTCTTGTGGCTACTTATCTCTGAAGTATTACCGGTACTTGTAACCATATCATTGGCTTTGCTGGCAACCTAAACGATTTGCCTTGGCATTTTTAAACATTATTTGTTTAATGTAACTGCCAAGTCTTTAGTTACAGTACCACAGCATGTTTATACCAAAATACGTATCATCTTTTAATGACCCCATAGCAACAAATTTTGGGCTCATGGGCTCAGTTGTGATAGTAAGTTGAGGACTACCTGTATTCCCCACACTTCTACAATTCCTGAGGTAGCTTTTTTAAAAAAAAAAAAGAGTTGGATGCCTTTGAGAAACATTCCCACTGGGGAAATTCGATTCCTTCTGGATTTTTCTTTCCTTCAGGACTCCCACAGCTTTTCCTCAGAGATGTCACAGCAATCATCTTCTGTCCCTTTTAGACCGCTATTCCTCAGGAACAATGTTTGCTAGTACCGTATTATCTTCAATACAGTAGCAGGCAAGTCCTAGCCTTGAAAAGGACTTTAGGGCAGAATCCGTCGGCACTACTATTATTTAATTATATTACTATTATAATATTGTTATTGTTATTTTACCAGAAGAGGTGATTTAAAGCTCGATTTCTCCTCACAGACAGGCGGGAAATCGTAGCCCCGCCCCTTCCAACGGTTCTTCCGAAGGTTCGCAGGATGCCTCATAGGTGATTTTTCTCCCCTGAGGGGAGTCCGCCAGGACAGCGAAGGAGAAGGCCGGAAGGGCCACCCACTCAATATACTTTCTAGGGAGACGAACTCGATCTCCTTAACCCTTGCAAAGCCTGGAGAGAAGGAAGACGCCCGGAGCCTTTGATGTTCCTGTGCGCGGCTGCATCTGCGCGGCTCTCCGGCCTTTTTTGAGATCAGAGCCTCAGGCGAAGGAAAGCCTTCGGCGGATCCATCTCTTTTCCGCCGGTACCGAGCAAGAAAGCCGTTTCTTTGTTCCAAGTCTAGAGCTTTCCAAAGGGTTGGAAGCGCTGGCTGGATTCCCAAGAGCACAAATGGAGCGGTTTGAGAGATGCTTTCATCCTGGAAGCCCCAGTTGCAGATGGTGGGAGGGGGAAGAGGAGGCCCAGGTTTCTGGTCATACAGGTAGTCTTCGACTTACAGCAATTCGTTTAATGTTCAAACAGCACTGAAAAAAAATGACCCAATGACCCTTTTTTCACTTGCGACCATTGCAGCATCCCCGTGGTCACGTGATCAGAATTAGGATTTTTGGAATTAGGGGATTAAAAATGAGATTGCAATTAAAAGAACAAGGGAATTGGAATGGTGGGCATATTTACAAATTCAATCACACTATATGAAATACAGGAAAATGTGGGGTATCAATAGAGACTTAACGGCACTAGACAAACTTATTGGGGACAGAAGAAAAATTATTAAAAGAATGTACAAATATCTATTAGAATATGCAATGGAGGAAGAATGAGTGAAAGAGATAATGGAGGCATGGGCAAAAAAAATTGGGTACAATATTGAATTGGAAAAGTGGGAAAAATTATGGATAAGAAGCAGGAAATTAACTTTGACCATTCCATATAAGAAGTTATATAAAATGTTTTATAGGTGGCATCTCCTTCCAGCTAGACTAGCCAAAATGTATAAAAATTTATCACCTAAATGCTGGAAATGTGATCGTATATTAGGCATGTACTACCATGTGGTGGTTGTATGGAAAGGCAAAAGATTACTGGCAAAGGATTTTGACGTGGCTGAAGAGATGACAGGACACAGATTGGAATTTAAATCAGAACTATTTCTTCTAGGAATTGTAACAATGACAAAGCAAAGGGTTAATTTATCTAATACTGCATATTATTACTGTTGCGAGAAAGGTTTATGCCCAACATTGGAAATGTGAGAATATACCCCCAGAATGGGAAATAACAAAGAAAATACTAAATTGTGCAGAATAGGTTGACAATGGAATTAAAAAATAAAGAAGAAACAGAATCCTATGAGATTTGGAGCAGATTTTATCAATGGTTGGATTTGAGGAAAAGAAGTCGTAGAGTAGAACTATGAGGTACAGATTGAAAGATGATGTAATATTTGTAAATGTAAGTGTATATAAGAGGTCTTATACGTATAATAATGAGTAACGTATGTTAAGCACCAATATAGCCATGTTATGTTTTAGTTTTGTATGGCGGAGATAATGCCAGGACGGTTACACCATATACACATTTTTTTTGTTTTCTTTCTTTTTAACCAATAAACAAATTGGGGTCCTGTGATACTTTTTTCTGATCTTCCGCCAAGCAATGTCAATGGGGAATCCAGATTCACTTAACAACCAGTGTTACTAACTTAACAACTGCAGTGCTTCACTTAACAACTCTGGCAAGAAAGATCGTAAAATGGGGGCAAAGCTCACTTAACAAAATGTTTCACTTAGCAACAGAAATGTTGGGCTCAGTTGTGGTGGTAAGCTGAGGATGACCTCTATAAATTTACTACAACAGTACAGGTAGTCCTCAACTTACAATAGTTCATATAGCGACCATTCAAAGTTACAATGGCACTGAAAAAAGTGACATGACTATTTTTCACACTTATGAACATTGCAGCACCACCACCCCCATGGTCACGTGATTTATATTTGGATGCTTGACAACCGACTCACATTTATGATGGTTGTAGTGTCCCAGGGTCACGGGAAGAACCATGGTGGTGCAGTGGTTAGAATGCAATACTCCAGGCTACTTCTGCTGACTGCCGTCTGACTGCAATTTGGCAGTCCGAATTTCACCAAGCTTAAGGTTGACTCAGCCTTCCACCCTTCCAAGGTCAGTAAAATGAGGACCCAGATTGTTGGGGGCAAGAGGCTGACCGTAAAACCGCTTAGAGAGGGCTGTAAAGCACCGTGAAGTGGTATATAACTCTAAGGGCTATTGCTATCATTTTTTGCAACCTTCCGACAAGCAAAGTCAATGGGGAAGCCAGATTCACTTAACAAACATATTACTAAGTTAACAACCGCAGTGCTTTGCTTAACAAATGCAGCAAGAAAAGTTGTAAAATGGGACAAAACTCACTTAAGAGCTGTCTCGCTTAGCAATAGAAAATTTGAGCTCAACTGTGGTTGTATGCTGATGACTACCTGTAGTACTGATGTTCACGGCATTGGCTTTCTAGCCTGAGGATTACCCTTGGTATGGTAAGACGAAATAGGGGGGAAAGATGGTCTAGTTTGGCAAGGAAAAAAGCAAGGGAATGGAATGCCTAGAGCAGGAGTCCCCAAACTTGGCTAAGACTTGTGGACTTCAACTCCCAGAATTCTAGACCTCTAGCCTAGAGAGAAATGAGATGATGGCCTGAACTTTATTATTGGAATTGGGGTCACAACACAGGGTTGGTGGAAGTTAAAAAGCTTCTGATCTGCACAGACACAGATACACACTTTATGAGGGTACTTTAGACTCAGGGAAATTCTCCCAACACACCCTTACCTAATTTTAAGTCTCCTGTGAGTCAAATACATTCACATGCATTCATATAAAATTACATTTTTGTTACGCATTCACCCTAACGGAAGGTGAGGATTTCCCCCACCCCATAGTTCATTTGCAACACTGACTTGAACATTCACAAATCTTTGCTGGAATTAGACTTCGATTATTATGAGGCCAACTATTTTCTCAGCCCTCTTTCTGGTCCATGCAGTGTACAGCTCAATGGAAAGCAGGTTGGTTATGATTGTTTTTTTCCGGAACTATTCATTGAAGTCCATACCTGTCCTGTTCGGTTGCCATGCCAAACCAGACAATTACTGAGGTACAAATGACAGACTCAATTAGTTGTAACTCTTCCAAGAGCATTCAGTTGATCTCATCCACCAACCTATCATCTTAAATCTTATGAAATGAAATGAAAAGTTATATCTATCATCCATCCATCCAATTTCTTAACCGTCCATCTCCCTGATAGGGGGATATAGGGCGATAATTTCTCATTTTCTTTCCTTCAGCCACACCAGTTCATTTTAACCCAAGATCCACTTCTATTAAATTTCCTCATGTGGAAAAAATCCAAATTCCTTTTGTGTCCAATCACACTTGGCCAATAAAGAATTCTGCATGAGGATCATAACCTCAGAACTAGGGTCTCTGAAGTTCTGTTCACAGTCTGTGCACTCATATGGTTTCTCGTATGTGGATCCTTCTGTGGGAAGTCACAGAACTACTCTTTCTAAAGGTCTTTCCACATTCCTCACAGTGGTACGGTTTCTCCCCCGTGTGGATCTTTTTATGAGAACTAAGGGAACTGCTTACAGTGAAGCTCTTTCCACATTCCATACATTTGTATGGCTTCTCCCCCGTGTGGATCCTTTTATGGGATGTAAGGGAACAGCTTACGCTAAAACTCTTCCCACACTCCAGACATTGATATGGCTTTTCTCCAGTGTGGATCCTTTTATGAGAATTGAGGTAACTTGCATCACTGAAGCTTTTTCCGCATTCCAGGCACTGATACGGTTTCTCCCCTGTGTGGAGCCTTTTATGGAAAGTAAGGCGACTTTTGCGATAGAAACACTTCCCACATTCCGCACATTGATAGGGTTTCTCCCCGCTATGGAGTCTCATGTGGGAACTCAGGTAACTGCTCTGACTGAAGCTCTTTCCACACTCCATGCATTCATGGGGTTTCTCTCCTCGGTGCATCCTCATATGGGATGTCAGGGAACAGCTCACACTAAAACTCTTCCCACACTCCAGACATTTATATGGCTTCTCTCCGGTGTGGATCCTTTTATGTGAAGTGAGATGACTTAAATCGTTGAAGCGCTTCCCGCACTCCAGGCACTGATACGGTTTCTCCCCTGTGTGGATCCTCTTATGGGAGGTAAGGTTGCTTCTCTGAGAGAAGCACTTCCCACACTCCACACATTGGTAGGGTTTCTCCCCACTGTGGATTCTTGTGTGGGAAGTCAGAGAACTTTTCTTAATAAAGCTCTTCCCACACTCCATGCATTGATACGGTTTCTCTCCTCGGTGCATCCTCATATGGGATGTCAGGGAACAGCTCACACTAAAACTCTTCCCACACTCCAGACATTTATACGGCTTCTCTCCAGTATGGACTCTTTTATGGGTAGTGAGGTGACTTATGTCGATGAAGCACTTCTCGCACTCCAGGCACTGATACGGTTTCTCCCCTGTGTGGATCCTCTTATGTGAAGTAAGGTTGCTTCTCTGAGAGAAGCATTTTCCACACTCAGCACATTGGTAGGGTTTCTCCCCGCTGTGGATTCTCATGTGGGAAGTCAGAGAACTTCTCTTAATGAAGCTCTTTCCACACTCCAAGCATGGATGTGATTTCTCTCCTCGATGGATCCTTTCATGGGTCATAAGGTAACTTTTCTGATGGAAGCTCGTCCCACAATCCATGCCTTGATATGGATTCTCCTGGAGATGACTCTTTTGATGGTCACTGAGATGGCTACTCTCGCTGAAGCTCTCTCCACATTCCACAGGTTTATATAATTTCTCCTCGAGCGATATATTTTGATTTAAAGTAAGAGGAAAGAGCCATTCCCAAGTTACGTGTTGTGTCTCGACAGGGTGGCTTCTGCAATATCCACATAATCCTGATTCCTCCTTCAATATTTTTCCACACCCTGGACACATTCTGGTTTCTTGGTGATTTTTTTCGGCCAGAAGCGCATTGTTATCTGCACAATGAAAAGCGAGGGCTATCTCTGGCTCTCCGTTTAGCTGCTTTTCCTCAGGACTTTGGACTCCCCATTGACATTGGAACATCCTTTCTCCAATTTCATTTTTTACTGATGGCAAGTGCTCTATCATCTCCTCCTTGGAGTCGTCATCCTCCCACCTTTCACCTGATTGCGACAAAAAGAAGAAATAAAGGTGAGTTTCACAAGATATTCAAGGCCTAAACTAAGACATTATCAGGGATCACTCTATTGCCACATCCTGTGTTGAACATTACAGGTAGTTCTCAAGTTATGAGCCTTGGTGACACAGTGGTTAGAATGCAGTATTGCAAGCTAATTCTGCTGACTGCCAGTAGTTTGATTCTGACCAATTCTGAATCAAGGTTAACTGAGCCTTCCATCCTTCTGAGGTCGTTAAATGAGGAGCCAGATTGTTGGGTGTAAAATGCTGACTCTGTAAACTGCTTAGAGAAGGCTGTAAAGCAGTGTTAAATGGTATATAAGTCTAGTGCTACCGCTAACACTACAATTGAGCCCAAAATTTCTAACCGAGACAATTGTTAAGCGGGTTTTGTCCCATTTTTTGACTTTCCTAGTTACGGTTGTTAAGTGAATTACTGGAGTTGTTAAGTTAGTAACATGGTTGTGCAGTGAATCTGGCTTCTCCACTGACTTTGCTTGTCAGAAAGTCGCAGGGGATCACATGACCCTAGGACACTGCAACCACCATAAATACATGCCAGTGCCAAAGTATCTCAATTTTGATCACACAATCATAAGTATACTGCAATGGATGTAAATGTTTGTGACATTAACACTTAGGGATTAACCCTTTAGGTGAGAAATTACCAGGACATAGACAAACAATAATACAGCTTTATTGAACTTTTGCAAAAGAGACCTCCATGCTCATATGGCGGAGCCAAAGAGGACAACTTCCATAGCAATACATGAAAGTTATATACATTTTCAGAAGCTCGACCTTGTTACTGCCCACTCGTCCTATTGGCTAAATTCTGCAGGAATGTTTAACCCTTCATTAAATTTAACCCTTCATTAAATTAGACATACCTAATTCTAGCATGGTTTAGCCTCGTCCCCTAACCATCTTTGTTGCTCTCCTCTGCACTCTTTCTAGAGCACGGATGTCAAACTCGCCGCATCATGTTGATGTCACATGACATATCACGTCCTTTTCTTGCCTTTGCAGAGCAGGGGTGGGCGTGGCCTGCGCTTGACGCATCCACCCTGTAGACCACCAGTTTCACACCCCTGTTCTAGGTCTCAACATCTTTTTTATACTGTGGTGACCAAAATTGGATGCAGTATTCTAAGTGTGGTCTTATCAAGGCGTTATAAAGTAGTACTAACTCTTCACACGATCCATGAAATTCGGTCTTATCAGGGTTTCCAAATTCCATAAAAATGAAAGGCACTCCCTTAAGGCTACCACCCAAAAGAGAAACTCAATAAGGAGGCTGTTTGCTCCTTTTTACAGAGAAGAGACAGCATGAAGATTTTTTTTGCCCTGCCTGCCTGATCCGGTGGGGGAATCAATACATTCTCCTTCACTGTAGAAAAGGAACAGGCCAGCATGTTCTGAGAAGCAGGTAAGCTGGTTACATGTGACTAGAAAAGTAGAAAGAGATCCCTTACCTATGGAGGTCATGTTCCTTGCATTTTCCAATGTGATCTCCCTGTACAGCAATTTCTGGTCAGGATTCAGCAGATCCCACTCCTCTTCAGAAAAAAATATGGCTATATCTTCAAATGACATATGATTCTGAAATTCAAAAAAAAAGTCCCTCTTAATGTATAGTTCCAAGTTGTACTTGAGGTCGTAAGTTGAGGATTACTTGTACCACCTGAATATCACCCAAGGTCACGCTGAGAGTGAGATGGGTGGTATCTAAGCTTGATAAATAAATACAAATAAATAATTATTTATCAAGCTTAGATACCACCCGTCCCAAATCTCAGAGTGTCTCTGGGCAATTTGTACATAGTTGAGGTAGTGACCACAATTGATCCCAAAAAATTTTGTTGTTTCCCATCACATGCCAAAAGCAGGGGAAGTGCAGGGGAGTTGTGCGTGGGCATGCCCATACCCATAATGCAATGCGTGCGACCCCCCCCGCACGTGCATGCATGCATGACCCCTACCCTCCCCCCTGCTTCTGGCTCGCGATGGACTGGTTTTTCGCCCTTCCCAGGCTTCAGAGGCTTTCTAGTAGCCTGGGGAGGGCAAAAACAGCTTCCCCCATCCCCCCAGAGGCTCTCCAGAGGACGAAAAATGGCCCTACGTGCAAACTGGAGGTTCCAGGAACAGAGTCCAGGTTGCCCGGAGGGCTGTTTTTCCCACTCCAGAGGCTTCATGGAAGCCTCCTGAAGGCTCCAGAGACAGAAAAAGGGCCTTATGGGCAAACCAAAAGTTACTTCCAGGTTGCCTGTAGGGCTGTTTTTTGCTCTCCGGAGCCTTCAGAGCACGAAGAAATGGCCCAATGCGCAAACTGGAAGGCTGTTCCCGAACTTCTGGTTTGCACATTGGGTTGTGCCCTCTGGAGTGCGAAAAACGGCCAAAAAAGAAGGCTGAAGTCAGCTGCCCAGCACGCGCATCACGTTGGAGCTGACAGGGCAACACCTCGCGTGCCCTAACAAATGGCTCCACGTGCCACCTACACCATAGGTTCGCTGACACAGCTCTATTCTGGTCTATTCTAGTGTAGTCTAGGTCTACTCTAGTCTACTAAACCTGGAGTGTCAAATTCGATTTCATTGAGAGCCTCATCAGAGTTGTGTTTGACCTTGGGGGGGGGCTAGGATGGACATGTCCAGGATGGGCATGGCCAACTTGATGTCACTCATGTCGGGGGCATGTGTGGAGCCTGAGCACTCTGCCAGCGAAAACAGGCTCCCGAGCTCTGTTTCCGTCTGCGACAGCCTCATACAACCCTCTACTAGTGAAAACGGAGCTCTGGAGGGCCATCCTTGGCCCTTGCAAACTCCATTTTTGCTGGCAGAGGCACTGTGGGCCTGTCCTTCGCTGTTTCCGGGGCAGCCCCGCTGGCCAGATTTAAGCATCCCTTAGGCCAGATCCGGCCCCCTGGCCTTGTCTGACACCCCTTTACTAAACGGATGGCTCCAAGTCGAGGATCACCTGCAAGGTTTTCTATCTTACCTCTTAATGAAGTGATTTTGTAGGATCTCAAAGCCCATTCAGTGATAACAACCCTCATATCTTTCTGGATCAGTTGGTGGGACTGGCATTGGATCCACCTTCCTTTCTGGAAAATGGTTTCCTCAACCAAGTCTTGTTCCATGTTTTAACCAGTGGAAATAGGCCCCAGTTCTCTTTTCTACTGAGCAAAGTCCACTAAGTGTCTGGTATAAGTAACTGTTTTTACTTACAATCGACAGAATTCAAAAGTTTCTGACTGAAAATATGTCTGAATAAATGTTTTATTCATATTGCTGATTCTGCAAGATTTTAAAACTTGTTTTGGTTGGTGGGAACAGTAGGTTCTGGAACAACTGATGGGATGAATCTTGGATTCACCATTGATCAAGGTCTTCAGTGGTGCCTGGAAGGTGACTTCCTCAACACAGTATTTGAACAATCCTAGTTGATACGTTAATGGGTGTCTTATGTTGTCCCTGAGAGATACACACATTCGATAGCTATTTGAAGCTGCTGGAAAAGGCCTTCTAGAAGCAATGAGTTGCCAGCAATGTTCAAATGATACCAGGAAGCTGTTCCCACTCGCTAGAAGGGAGCAAATTAAGTGAATTAGCTTTGGAAGAGAAATTCAGCTTGCTTTGGAATGCCCCTTATCAAAACCACATTTAGACACTGAAGGAGAAAAGAATCATCCTCAAAATAGCAGAGTTGGAAAGGACCTTGGAGGTCTTCTAGCCCAACCCCCCACTCAAGCAGGAGACCCTTTACTTTTCAGAGAAATGGTTGTCCAGTTTCTTCTTTAAAAACTCCAGCAATGGAACATCTACAACTTCTAAAGAAAAGCTGTTCCATTGGTTAATTGTTCTCATTGTCAGGAAATTTCTCAGTTCTAGGTTGCTTCTTTCCATGATTAGTTCCTATCCATTGTTTCTTGTCTTGCCTTCAGGTGTTCTGGAGAATAGCTTGACTCCCTCTTCTTTGTGGCAGCCCATTAGATATTGGAAGACTGCTATCATGTCTTTTCTTTAAACTAGACATACCTAATTCCTGCAACCATTTTCATATGTTTTAGCCTCAAGTCCTCTAATCCTCTTCATTGATCTTCAATGCATGCTTTCCAAAATCTCAACATATAGCCTGGCTCCCTCTTCTTTGTGGCAGCCCTTTAGATATTGTCATTATTCATTAAAGTAGGCATACCCAGTTCCTACAATTGTTCTTTATATGTTTTAGCCTCCAGCCCCCTAATCATCTTCATTGCTCTTCTTTGCACTCTTTCCAGAGTCTCAATATCTTTTTTAAATGGCAGTGATCAAAACTGGATGCAATATTCCAAGTGGAGGCCTTACCAAGGAATTATAAAGTGGTAGTAACACTTTATGCAAGCTTGATCCCTCCTACCTGAGTTGGAATGACAACAGCAGTTTCAGAATCACCACAAAACAAAGGTGCTTCTGCAGGAAACCTCAGGATTGCTCCTTTCCCTGATAAGACAGAAATGGAGGAAGACATTTTGAAAACATTCCTACTGCATTCTCGAGAAAGTAAATGGTATATATCGTATTTTTCGGAGTATAAGACACACCAAGGTTTTGAAGAGGCAAATTCAAAAAAAAGTTTTTGCACTCTGCAAATCTCCCCAAAACGGCCTGCTTTTCACGAACGCTGGCTTGTTCCCCCCCCCCCCAAAAGGCATGAATAGCCTTTAGGGGGCTTGCAGGGGGCCCCGGGGGGGGGGGGGATGGGGACAAAAATGAGCAAGAAATGGCCCGATTTTCATCAAAACAATTGCATGCATAGCCTTTAGGAGGCTTATAGAGTACTCCTGGATCTGGGTGCTCAATGCCTCATTGGGAGAGACGATGTTACATGCCTTGAAAGAGACATCTCTGGGAATGCTAGCTGTTCAAAGGGGTCTTTGTTGGTTAAATTAGGACCTTGGAGAAACACTGGAGTAAGCTTCCAAGCTGAACCAATGTGTTCAATGAATGTATAACGTTCTGTAATATGTTTCTTTTCAAC